TTGGTTCCTAAGTCAGGTGGAGTTGGGGGAATCCCAAAGATCCGGGGATTCCATTGGCTGGCTCTTCCGATCCTGCCAGCTGCTAGGAAGCCGCTTCCCGTCCCGCCCAGGCCTCCCCCACCCCCCGGGGGGACCCAGCGGGTCTTCTGAATGGCCTGAAGCAAAGGTCGCCGTCTACATATCCTCACACACCCCCTCCGCCCCCTTCGTTCAAGGGCGTGAAGGCCCCGGCCTCTTTCTCCGTGTCAGGGCAGAGAGAAGCGGCCGCCCCTTGGCCGCCAGCCGCCCCTTGGCCAAAAACGGTTAGGCCCGTCCCGGCCTTCAGAATCGAATCCCCAACGCTTCGGGGACACACACACCCCCGAGACAGGAGCGCCCTGCCTGCCCAGCGCCCTCCACCTTCGCCTTGGCGAGGGAGAAAGCGCCCACCCGACCCGGGTCTCGCCGAAGTCCGAGGACTCGCACTGCCCAGCCGCGGCTGCGGCGCTCTCTTCCTCCCGCCTTGCTTCGGCTGTGCCCGCCTCGACGGGGAGGGGGTCCAGGGGGGGGGGGCAGCTGAAAGGCCGGGGGAGCCCGAAGGCGGAGAGCGAACGACCCTGCGTGGGGCCGGGGCAGTCACGGGTGGGGGCAGGGGCAGAGCCCGCTCCGGCCAGCCTCCGTCACCAAAGCCCCCACCAGCTCCAGCTCCCGGCTCAACCGAGACGCGTCCAGGGCTCTTCCCACGCGCGGAAAGGGAGCGTGAAGGCCGCCCGGGAGGAAAGCGTGGGGAGCAGCCGCCGGGCCCTCCAAGTTGTTATTCGGTCTCGGCGATCGCTGGGCCGCTTCACGGCGACGCTGCGGGTTTCCCTTCGTCGCGAGAGCAGTTCACGAGCGCGGAGGCGCCTCCTTTTGCTCCCCTGCTGGAAATGAGGAGGCCGACGGGAGCTGAGCTCTTCGGGAAACGGGCAAGGTCGAAGGGCAGCTGGGTCGCCGGAGGTGTCTCCGGAACGGGCCTTTTCTGTGGGGCCGCCTAAAACCGTCCGGGCTCTGGAGTCGACTCCTACGCAGCGAGAGGCTGGAACCTCACCCCGGAATGCAAAGGGAAACGGAGCTCGTTTTGAAGAGGAAGAAAGCGGCGCGTCTCCGGCCAAGGGAGCCGAGAGGAGGACGCGGCGCTCTTGAACTCGATCCCGGCCTCAGTGCGCCCAAAGAGAGCGGCGTTGGCGCGGAAACGGTTCCCGTGAAACATACCGACGTCCTGAAAAAAAACACAGTTCCTATTATACGTTCTGTCTGCCTGCGCCCTATTCCTATTAGCAGAGAACCTGAGATCCGTAGAGTGGGAGGAGATCTCGGAGCCCTTCTAGTCCACCCACCCACCCAGCCAGCGGAGGGACCCTCAGACCCTCCCAGACAAAGGGCAGCCCAGTCACCGCTGAAAACCTCCAGCGTCGCCGGATGACTGCGTTGTTTTCCTTCCAGGATCTCTCCGGAGGCGGCTTGGCGTGAAATCTTCTCTTCGAGTCAGCAGCCGGTTTCACCGGGACGCCCTCGGAGCAGCCGGCAGCGCCTTTCCCGCTAAGGCGGGCGCACGAGGGGTTGCAATCCGCTGTTAGCCGGGAAACGCCAGAAGCCGCTTCCGTTCGCACCCCTTTGTCTCCCCGACTCTTTCGGCTCCTGGAGGCCGTGCCTAGTCCCGGCCGCCCGGAAAACCGGAGCCAGCTGCCTCTTCGTCTCTCCCCGGCGGCCTTCAGAGGCGACCGAGGCGGCCCCCGGTAGAATAAACGAGCCCCCCTCCCTTGCTTGGATTCCGGTTCGGACGTTCCGGTTGGGCTTCTCCTCCACTTACCCGGGCCGCAGCAGGAGACCCAACCCCCGCTGGAGAGGCTGCTTGGAAAGGGCGCTGCCCGAGGAAAAAAAGAACCCGACCTCGGCGGAGAAAGCGGCCTTTCCGCGCAGGGGACCGTCCGGAAAGGGACGCGAAGGCCTCGCAGAAGGGGAAAAAAAAAAAAAAAACCCCCGGCCGCGGGGGCTGCAGACCTGCCCCCCCCCCGGATTACTTCCGTCGGGATGGGGGTAGGGGGGGAAGAACAGCTCCGGCTTGCCCGGAGAGGCTCTTGCAATGCCCGCGCTCGGGCAAAATGCGCCTTGGGTTACGTAGCAGGCGCGGCCAGAACGGCCTAGGCAGGCTCAGTGGGGCTCAGCCTTAATCCTGGTGGCGGGAGCTGATTGTGGGAACTCGGCCTCCGGGCTTCTCTGCGACTCCGTGTTTTGCGGAACGGGAGTCCTTCGCCGAGGTCCCACAACGCGCTGCTTCCTCCCACCACCCTCGGAGGCCAGGGAGGAAGGAGCGGAGCACGACCGGCCCTCTGGCAGACAGGAATCGGGGCCCTTCCAGGCTCCGCAGGTGATGGGAAGGAACTGACAAAGGCCACGACGGGAGCCTCCCCGGTAGCGATGGCCGGGGCTACTTACCATGCGACAGGTGGGGCCAGCCAGCTATCCTGCGCCCCAAACTCCTTTCAACGCTCTGATCGCGCCGGGTGGGTCCTCGCCTTTCCTCCGGAGCCAGCAAGAGAACTCCAGCCGCCCTTCTCAGCCGCAAAGAAGGGGGGGGGGGGGTGGGGGATCCCGGGAACCGAGCCAGACCTCAGGCGGCCTGGCCAAGAGGAAGCCCTCGACCGTCTCGCTTCTCTCCCGGGCCCCAGGTAGAGTGGCCGCCGCAGTGGAGTTGGCTAGAGGGATGCGGACGGGCCTTCGAGTCCCGCGAGGCGCCGTCTGGGATTGGAAGGTCTTCGGATACGGACCGAGGCGACCGTTGCACCCGGCGAGTGGGACTCCTCGGCCTACCGTTCTCTCCCGCAGCGCCTCGGCGAATCCCGGAGGGCGCCTTCTTCGTTGCCTTCGGCTTTGCTCCCGACCCACAGTGCTGCTCCAACCCCTCGAGAAAAGGAGCGAGAGCCGACGGGGGTGGGTGGGGGGAGTCCGTCGGGGCTTAGAGATGCCGTCCTGGAGGCCTCAAGGCCGCTGGAGCCGCCCGAGGGTTTTCGGCCTCGGGAGTCGCCGTTCTCCTGGACAAGGCGGCGACCGGGCCTGCCTTCGGCCAGCTCGGCCTGGCCCGGGGGGACTCGGGATCCGGGCGCTGCGAGAAGCCCGGGCGGGCAGCCGATCCCTCCCTCTGGCTCGCTCGCTCGCTCTCTCCGCCTGCCTTCCTTCTGGCAAGCGAGAGGGCGGGGCAGCGGGGGCGGATCCGGAGCTGAGCGCAGCCTCCCGGGCGCTCCAGTCCGCCTTTTGGCGGCGACCCCGCTGCCTCCTCCCCCTTCGCCTCCCTCCCTCCGCCATTCCCACGTGCCCTCCCCAACCCCGGGGCAGGTGAACCTGGCCAATCAGAGGGGCGGGCCGCAGGTACCCGGCTTATCTGGACGACTAGCCAAGGAGCGCGCCCACTGCGCACCGGGTGGATGGGGTGGGAGGCGGGCGCGCGGGTGAACCACGGGTGGGAGTGCAGCTGCCACCATCCCACAGCCGCCTGGCGCCGCCGCGCCCTGCCCGGTCCAGCGCGCCTGGAACTGCTGCCGGTTCGGGCCGGTTGCGAGCCGAGCCCGACGTGGCTCCCTGGTGTTCCCGCGCCCGGGTCCGCCTGAGCGCCGCCCTCGCCCGGCCCTGAGCCATGTTCCAGCCCGCGGCGGCGGCGGCCAAGCGCTGCTTCACCATCGAGTCCCTTGTGGGCAAGGACAATAGCCACCCGCTGGCAGAGGATTCTCTCCGTCCCGCCGCCGCCGCCGCCGCTGCCGCCGCCGCCCTCGGATACCCGGCCAGCGCCGCCGTCGAGGCCTTCGCCCACGGCTTCCAGGGCTCGGCTGCCGCCGGGCGTTCGCTCTACGGCGGCCCGGAGCTGCTCTTCCCGGAGGCCGTGAGCCACCCACCTGCCCTGGCCGTCCACCCGCCGCAGCTGGCCTCTTCGCACCTGCCCCCCTCGCCGCACCCCTTCTTCGGCCCGCAGTCGCGCGATCCGCTCAACTTCTACCCCTGGGTGCTGCGGAACCGTTTCTTCGGGCACCGCTTCCAAGGTAAGCAAGGCGCGGCCGCCTCCGGGGAGCCCAGGGCACGCGGTCGGGGCCTCTCGGGCTTTTGAGCTTCCAAGCAGCGCCTGGCGTGGCCGTCATCGCCCGGCCCGGAGTTGGCGGTGGGTCAAAGCTGTGCCAGGAGGCAGCCGAGCCCGTCCGTCCTGTAGGAAAAGCGAGTCGCGATCCGGGGCCGGTCAAGCGCCGGGAGAAGTTTCCCGCTTGGCCAGAGGCAGCAGCGCCTTTTCCCCCCACCCGGCCAGGGCGCCGAGCGGGACTTTGGTTAAAGGCTGGGCCGGCGTTTTCTGACCGCCTCAAGGCAGCCGCGGCCTTTGAGCTGGCTCGGCTCAGCCCCATCTCTCCTTTCCGGGCCTGTGAGCGATGGGCACGACCCTCGGGGCCCGCGGGAGGGACGTTGCCATCCAGACCCCCGCCAAGGCGCCCCTGCCCGGGAGTTCTGCAGCCGCTGGAGCAGCCGGTGGGGCTCAGGAGGCAACTGGAGCCGGTCCTGCCCTCCTTCGACCCGAGAAGGCCCCGCGGTTCAGACTTCCCTTCCGCTGAGATGGTTGAGGAGGGAGCGGGGCACGGGGGGGGGGACTCACTCGGGGAGGTCGCGGCCGTGCAGGGGCGAAGGGGGCGCCCACCCTCCCCGCCGCCTCCTGGGTGGAGCCCCGCAATCCCCGCTCCAGCGGGAAAGAACAGCGCTCGGTAAGGAGAGGGACTTCGCCGGCTGCTTCGGCGCCCCGCCAGGGGATCGGTCGGGATCCGAGCAAAACCCGTTCAAATACTCCTCGCGGTGGAGAAAGGCCCTTTTTCTTCCAAGAAGGTTTGAGATTCCTGGAAGCCCCCCCCCCCCCCAGCACAGAAACTCGTTTTATTTTTCCGGTAGCTGGAAGGAGAGATCCGGCGGCCCCGGGGATGCTCCCCTCCATCCCAGCGAAAACCGGCGCCAATCCGTCCATGTTTCAAAGAACGGCGGCCTAAACTCCGCCAGGAAATCTACCGGACTGTCGCCTCCCTTGCTCTTCCTTCCTTCTTTCTCCCCCTCCCTCCCTCCTTCCTTCCTTCCTTCCTCTTCTCCCTTCCTTCCTTCCTTCCTTCTCTCCCTTCCTTCCTTCCTTCCTTCCTTCTCTCCCTTCCTTCCTTCTCTCCCTTCTCTCCCTTCCTTCCTTCTCTCCCTTCTCTCCCTTCCTTCAATCCTTTCTTCCTTCTCTCCCTTCACTCCTTCCTTCTCTCTTCTTTCCTTCCTTCCTTCCTTCTCTCCCTTCCTTCCTTCCTTCCTTCTCTCCCTTCCTTCTCTCTTCTCTCTTCCTTCCTTCCTTCCTTCCTTCCTTCCGAGACCCTCTTGATTGGTTGAAAGGCTCCGCAGGTACAACCCAGGAGAAGAGCGGCTCTCCCGGCCCCGTAGAGGAAGGCCATCCCAGGCACGCAGGACTTTCCGCCAGGAAAGCCTCGTTGGCATCGCCGAACAACAGGCGGTGCGGGGCCTTCATCCCAGCCGCAGCTGGGGCTATTGGTGAAGAAGGTAAAAGGGTTGCAGAGAAACGTAGCCCGGCGACCCCGTCCCCACGACCCCAAAGACCGCGGGAGGCTCCCGTGGGTAAAGAACGAGTCTCGCAGCGCCGGGAAGCCTCTTCGGGCGCGTCCGGCTCCCTCTTCGCGGCCTACCAGGGGAACCGGCGGCGGCGAGCGGAAGCCTCTTCTGCAAGCAGAGCCCGGCACTAGCCCGCCTTCGGGCCCCACATCTGCTGCACGCTCGCTTCCCTCCAGAGCCCCACCTCCCCTAGCCCCCTCGTCGCTGTAGCCAGGGCCGCCTCGGGTTTTCCCGGGAAGCTGCTCGGCCGCGGCCTGAAAAAAGCGCCCCTTCAAGGCCTCGGTTCGTCGGCCAGGAGGGCGGAGCAGGGGAGCTCTCCCCGGACGCGTTCAGGGAAGGGGGCAAAGGTGGCCCGAGGGATGCTCCCCAAATGCCCGGAGTCCCAACAGCCGAGGGGGTGCTGGGCCTGGACGAAGGGAAGCTCTGCTTTCCTGCCATCCTCGGTGGCCTTTGGGCTCCGCTCCTTCCCCTTTTCCGTTGTCGTTGCCGCGACCTGCGCCCTGGCCCGGTGTGCGCGACCCTCCCCTCGTGCCCTTCTGGAGGAAACTCCTTCACTCGGCTTCCCGGAGACCCTCCTGCGGGTTCGACCCTCCACTCCAGGACAAGCCAGGCGCTCGGAACAGGCTTGGGGGCAGCTTTCGCCTGCTCGGCCTCCGCCGCGCGCACAGGTTTCTAACCGAAAGAGCGACTCTCGCGTGGCCTGCTTTGGCGGGTCCTCGGAGAAGGACGAGTCCTTCCCAGGCGGGAGCCGGTCCCGGGAAGTTCCAATTGTCCCTGGGCCAGAAGGGGCCGGAACCGAGCCTCCCTGCAAGTCCTAGGCAGGGCGAGGGACTTGCAGGCGGAGCGCCGGCCTTTCTCGGTGGAAGGCAGGGCGAGTGGCTACGTTAGGCAGGGGAAGAGAGCGCCGCTCGCCCACAATTGCCAGCTCGCTCCTGCCTTTCGCTTCGTGCTCGGGGAGAGAAAGCGCGTGGGGAGCAAGGCCAGAACCGGCCTTCAAAGGGTGGGGAGCCGAGAGTTGGAGGTCTTTCTTTTCCAAACCGGGCTCTTGAAGCAAGGAAAGGGCCCCTGGGCCGAAGGGCGCTTCGCAGCGCCGAACCCGATCCTTTCCAGGCCTCGCAGGGTCTTTAAGCGGAACGCGCGCAAACCCAAACCAGAGGCCGGGCTTGGGGAACCCGTTCCCCTCCACACCTTGCGGGAGCCCAGCCTGGGGACGGGGGGGGGGGCATAAAGTCAACCACTCCCTTGCTTGGCGGGTGTGGGGGTGTCACCAGACGCAAGGCCGAGCTACTTGCCAAGGCGGTTTCTCGCCTGGTGATCCCTTGCTTTGCCTTCCTCAAGGTGGATCTGTTGTGGTGTCGTGGGGGGAGTGGGGGCGAAGGGCTCGGTCACGGAAAGGGGAACCTTTCAAACGGAAAGCCCCTCCAACTCTTTCCCTACTGCTCCCGCGCCCTAAAGCGAGGGGAGGGCTTGTCCTGGCCGCCAAAGGCAGCCGCAGGTCTGCCTAGTTCAGGACCCCTGGAGGTTTGGTATCCGACCCTCCCTTTCACACACACACACACACACACACACGTTCCCTTCCCACAACCCTCTCCACGTGTAAATGTTGGCTCCCTCCTGACTGCCACTTCCTTTCACAACATCCTGACAAGGTAGGCCTCCAGTCCTTCCACACGGCTGTCGAACTGCTTTCGGGGAAGAAGACCAGCCTAAAGCCCAGGAGAAACGATGGGGCCAGGGTCTACCTCGCACCCCGCTTTTAGTGGCCGCCACGGGCCCCGGAAAATTGCAGCAAAGGGGGGTGGGGGAGGGCGCCTGGTTTCTGATCTAGATCCAACTTTAGGGCGCCCCAGGATTTCCCCCTGAACGTGCACCCCGCCCGATTCCCATCTCCTGCCCCTCCGCCGAAAGGGAAGGAAGGAGCGGAGGGAGGGTTGAAAGGCCGAACTCTCACACCTGGGTGCTGCCTCGCCTTCTGCCCCCTCTCTTGGCCCTTTGGAAGGGGGCACCGACAGCCTATGACGCGCGTCTCGTCTGAACCCTGCCTTTGCCTCCCCCCAACAAGGGGTGGCGGTTGGAAGGGGATTGGAATGGGGGGGTCGCCCGGGCCCTGAGGGCGGGAGGGGCGTACAGAGGCCCGCGAGCACCCTTGCAAACAGCTTCGTCCGGGGTCGCCGAGAGGTCTGACGGGGTTGATTCTGGGCGGCGGGCCCTGACCGGCTGCTTTCCCTCCGCAGGCGGCGAAGTGTCCCAGGAGAACCTGCTCTTGCACGGGCCCTTCGCCCGGAAGCCGAAGCGCATCCGCACCGCCTTCTCGCCCTCGCAGCTGCTGCGGCTGGAGCGCGCCTTCGAGAAGAACCACTACGTGGTGGGCGCCGAGCGCAAGCAGCTGGCCGGCAGCCTCAGCCTCTCCGAGACCCAGGTGGGCCGCGGCGCGGTGCGGGGGGGGAGGAGGGGCGGGTCGGCGGCACGGGGCCCTTCAGTGCGAGGCGGCACCGACGAGGTCCAAGGAGTGGAGAGAAATGGGGGCCCGGGAAGGTCCGTTTTCTCCAAAGACTGAAGCTGCGAGGGAGACCGCCGCTCGCGTGCAATCGGCCGCCTCGCGCACCCCCCACCCACCCCCAATCCCACGCAGCCTTCTTTCCTTTTCCATTTGCTGCTGTTGTTTTATGCAGCATTCAGCCTCAACCTCTTGCTTACCGGCTCCTGATAAAGTCACCCTCTAAAAACCTTTGGATCCCCACAACCTCCAGTGAACCAGGATGCCTAAACCATTTATTTATCAGCCATCTATCTAAAGCCTCGCTTTCCTGTACAGTTTTGAAATCATCCATCCAGTTAAGGTCAATTTCGCTTGTGAATTCATAGGTGAGAGCAGGTGGAGAGCAGGATGGTTGATTTAACTGTTTCTGGCCTCAGAAAGGACCCTGCCTCTCTCTTCAAACTTTTCCTGGTTCCTGCCAGACCTCACCAGCAGTGTACAAAACTCTCTAGATCTGAGCACGTTTTATCTAAAACCAAGGTGTGAACTAGAAAAATCCTCCTGAGTATTTTGAGTTGACGCCCTCCTTGCAGATGTGCCGATCAGTTGGGGGGAGGCAGTTTTTCGAGCCCTTGGCGGCGTCACAAGGCAGGAGAAGCGCCCCGTTTGGAGGGGAAAACGTTTCCAATTGGAGCCCATAGATTCCCAGCTACGTTTCCCACAGAGGTGGAGAACAGCTGGCTGTGAACGCGCGTGTGTGTGTTCGTGTGTGTGTGTGCATTGGCTTGGGTGAAGAGGGCTATGCAGGGAGATTCCAGAAACAAAGTAAAAGCGAGGCAACGGTTCGGGATGAAACTGAAGCGAGGGAGCTGTTGACAGGAGTAGCTAGAAACCTGGACGGGACTGTTGCTGAGATGCCAGAAAATGGCAAACAACTGAAAAAATCTTTGGTATGGCTACTGCCGGAGAGGGGAAGAAATCCAGAACAGCAAGTTATAAATATGGTGAGAACATTGAAAAATGGTAAAGCTGCAGGTTTAGACGGTGTGTTTGGAAAGTGCCGGCTGCAACCATAATGGGGGGGGGGGGGTGTTATTAACGGTTCTACGCGCACCGGGGAGGGGAGCAGGACGGAAGGCAAAAGCCAAGGGACGGGGTGGGGGGGGGTTACTAATGTGTCCTGGGGGGTGTTTGGAAGAATTCTGCACAAGAGGGAGGAAAGGTGGGGGGGGATTTGCTGTTCAGCGGGTCGCTGGGAAATGCAGGAATGTGAGAAACACAATTTGTGCGAAGCTTTGTGGATTTGAGACCAAAAGCAAATTGAACAGGGCTTCCGTCGTGGGACTGTTTTGCACCACTACGGATCCGAAGGTTGCTGCTGAGTGTGATACGGTGGAAGGAAAGCGGGCGTGTGCGCGGGTAAAAAAGGGAGCTGGCGAAGGGTTCGGTGCCGGGGTGAAAGTGTTCGGTGTCCCCCTTTATTGGTTTAATGTAATTGCAGATAAATGCAGACGAAACTCTTGCGTTGGAATTAAAGAAGCCCTTGGTTGGAACCACGAATTGTGCGCGTATTTCTGCACGCGGATGAGGTGAGCTTGTTGAAGGGCTTGCAGCGAGGAATCAGGAGGTGCAATTCACTACCTGAAAATCTAAGGCGGCTGTTGTTGTTTTTTTGTTTAGCGGGGAAAATGGAGCGAGCGATGGCGGGTTGCGCGAAAACAGCAGCCGGAGGAGGCAGGAGAGGCGGAGTGCGGGCGCCTTGCGGGGATGTTGGCCCAAAAGGGGGAAAGTAGATGGGAGAAATGTTCGGGACGTTCATCGATGCTGGCGGAACCCTCGCGGCTGTTTCGCGGGAGGAGTGAAAAGTTGGGCAAACGGCGGCAGATCGGAGGGTACCCCAAGACCGTATTTGTTCAATATGATCAATCAAATCTGGAAGGGAGGGTTGAGTAGGTCAGCAGAAAGAAACAAGAATAAATACTGAGACATGGGAGGTAAAACAGGAAAGGAATTGGACCCAGGAATTGAATATTATTTTGACTGAAAAGCGAGTGATCTGGGCTAAAGACATTTGCTGACGGTTTGGTCAGAGAGAGAAAATAAGTGAAGATCACTCGGAAAACACAGATAGGAAGGCAGAGGCCGACAAGGGGCGAGGAGGAAGGGCGAGGGGCCGGCAGCGCCCAGCCGCTCCAGAGGAGAGAAGAAAAATTTGGGGGAGACGGGGCGGGGGACCAAACAGGGGTCGGTCCACTGGAAAGAAGAGGTTTTGCCAGGATAGGAACCCACCGAAGGCTATTTGAGGGCTTCATCTTAGATTAAGCTGTGTTTGCTTTCCTTTCTTGGCATAACTTTCTGCGTCTCACTTTTCCCTACTCGCTTTCTGCCCTCAATCCGCCATACTACTTTCCCTGGAATGGAGATTCCATGATGGGTACTGGTGTGCATACAGGCAGCTTACACGGGGAAGTGGCTGTAGGATTCGTTTCCTGGATAGCCACGTGTGTATGTGGCGCGGGGCGATGGCAACGCTTGTACGACGGCCCGAGCCCTTATGCAAGCACTGTGACAGGGTGAAATGAACGCTGGCACCAGACGCCCGAATGTCATGGCATGTCCTGCCATCGTTGGGAGGCCAGCAGGGTTTGTCCGGGTGCCCCGTTGCTGTGTTTGGTCAACTCCGCAATTGCCTAAGGAGAAGGTGTTGCTTGGGGCGCCTTGAAGAGATGAGGAGGAGCAGGGCCTGAAGGAGGAGTGGCGCCCCGCACAATGGAAGTCAGTGGATACCAGATAAATAAAGGCAGCAGATAAATTTCATAATCAACCACCTGTCCTGTGGAGAGGAACGGACTTGGCCTTTATGAGCTAATCCTGCTTCTCCCTCTCTTTTCTCCCCCTGCTTTGAGAAAAGAATTCCTGCCTTTCTCCCCCTTTTTTCTTCATGAGACGGGCAAGGGGCTCTTCCGCGGCCCCTTCACCCAACTCTCATTTTGCCCCCTGTCAAAGAAACCGGCCCATGAGCTGGGAGGAGGTTGGGCCCCCGCGAGCAGCCCTTGGTCTCCTCCAAAGACTTGGGGCGGGGGTTTCAACTGCCTGTCAGAGGGGTCCAGGGTGAGCGGACCTTTCTGGACTCCAGCTGAGGGGTTTCGCTGGAGGCAGCCTCAGGCGGAAGGGGACTTCTTTCTTCGGAGCCGAATAAACTGCCTCGCTGGGGGCAAAAGCTGGCCGGAGAAGAGCGAAATTTCTTCCCAAAAGTGCTCCTGGTTGAGAGTCCGGCGGTGGGTCCACACGTGTGTGTGTGTGTGTGTGTGTGTGTGTAAGGTGATCCGCATCCCCCTGGCGGTAAGCGCGGCTGGAGTAAGCAGGTGTGTTTTGGGCAAACGGCGTTAAGTAATAAAGGGTTGGGTTTCAAAACAAATGGCTCCCATTGAAAGGTGTTTGAGCTTTTCCTCTGGAGGAAGCGACCCCTTCGGAGGCCGGGGAGGAACACGATCCTCTTGGTCTGGAGGGCGGGGGGCAACACCGAGGAAAGATGGCCTGGAAATCAAAGGATGCAACTCTGTTTGTTTAGGCATTTCTCACGCTCTTTAAAAAAAAAATGCAGGATATTCCTCAATTATCATCCTGGTTCCTACTTGAACATTTATTTTCCGGCGGGGCAAAGATTGGCAGATGTTCTTGGAATGAGGTGGTGGTTAGACTCCAGCCTTATTTCTCAGGTCCAAGGGCTGCAAGAGCTTTGTATGTTGCACATACATAACGCATCCACAACCTTTCTGGAGCTCGGGTGTTTTCCCACTTCCTCCGGCCACTACTTGCACTAACAGCTCACTTTTAGTTCTTATCTGCTTCCTCTCAGAAATTGGTTGGAAACTGGATCGTAGAGTTTCCTTCCCATTTCAATCACACGGTTGGGGGGGGG